GCCTCCGAAACTCTCCCTCCCCTTGTGGCGTTCTCCAGCCGTCAGCAAAGCTCGTCGGGTTTCCGAGCGTGCGGCCCCAGCGATGGGGAGGCGGGAGAGAGAGAGAGAGAGAGGAGAGAGGGGCTCAGTCACCGCCAGCGCTGCTCACCGGGCAACTCCTCCGGTTCTCACCATCACCGTTTCGCTTCCTTGGTGCCACGTGCTCAAGGGCCGCTGGGAGCTCAAAGGCATATTTTAAACAAACAAACACAAACAAAAAAAACATATATATATATCCTAAATGACGAGTCCCTCCTCCAGCAGATAAATCCGGAAAGATCGGCGAAACAGGTTGCGAGCAAGAAATCAGTTCAGATATACAGGAACACTGGGGAGCACTCGGAACTCGTCAGTCCCACAGAGATGAGGCCCGGGGAGATCTCCCCGCAGACGTGGTGTCCCCTGTCTCCTGCCCGAGAGTTAGGGAGATCCACAGGTTCAAAACATCCATCTCAAATACCCTTGAGAGACACCTCACCTTCCTGCCAGCGTTTCCCACAACATAAGTGCAAACTCTTCACCCGGAATGTTATCTGCGATTATCGGTATCCTCAGAAATTATGCAGGAGGCATTTCTTGAATTTATGGTGAAAAGAAAGTTTGCTTCCGTACCGTTCTCTTGCAAATCGAGGTGATCCCTTCCATCCCTCTCGTGCCAGAAGTGCTTCATTCAAGTTTGGGGATCAGCTTTACTTTTTCTCCCAGCAATCCACGCTCAGAGTCTGACTCCGGGTGCAGTTCTCCAGGTTAATTAATAAAGCACGGCGCTTCTCTTCATAGTTTCAAGTTCCCAGGAAATAAAAAGGCCCCAAAACACTTTAAAAGCTTTAGATACCAAGCCAAACAGGTATCAGGCAAAAAGTTACAGCATATCTGGTTTCTCTCGCACTATTTCTGTGCACGCCTGAGTTCCGGTATGACCACTTCCAAGCACACATTAAGAAGATCCCGACTAAAGGCCCCACAAAATAAAATATAAAGTTCCATGGTCTGCCCAAAGGTCACATGAAACGTATCCAGCAGTCTTCATAACTGGGAGAATTCAAACAGAGGATATTTTCAATTAAAGCCAAAGTTACAGCGATCACACAGCTATGAAGAGAAAAAGTGATTAAAAAAAAATAAAGAAAAAAAGGAAAAAAGATATGCAAACCTGTTCGGCAGTCTGCCTGCTGGAGTCCGCGGGGGCCGGGACGGATGGAAACGTTGCCGTAAATCCTACACAAAAGTTACTTCCAGTAGCTTAAGAAAACTGTGTGAGTCTGGTGACGTTTGGTTTTGGTCTTTTAAAAAAAAAATTATTTAAAAATTGGTATTTATAATAAAAAAAATACTTTAAAAAAAGGGAAAGACCTCTCTCTCGCACACATGCGGCAGGCAGGTAGGTGCGAGCGCAGCTCCGCAGCCCCAAAGAGAATCCAGCGAGATCAAAGGGAGAAAATTACCGCAGAGAGAGAGCTCCCGGGGCGGGCAGGGCTGCGGGCGGCGCGTCCGCATGTACACCACCGACCTGCGAGAGAGCCCCAAACCACCGCGGAAAAACTCCTTTAAACTCCCGGAGCCTCTCCTCTGGCTCCGGCCGCGCTCAGCGGCTGCGAAGGGAGGGAGCACCGAGGCAGAGCAGAGCCGGAGCATGAGCGGCGAACCGGCGGCGGAGCCCGGCGGGACTGCCGGACCATGACCGGGGAGGCGAACGGCCGGAGCGGGTGCGGGGAGGGGGAGGGTGCTGCCAGCGGGCGGACAGCTCTGCGGAAAAAGCCCTTTTTTTT